TCTGATTAGGAGAGTAGATGTTTTAAATTCGACTTGTGTTAAGAAAGGCAGAGGTAGACCTAGGAAGACTTGGGCTTATTGTATTAAAAATGATCTTAATTTACTAGAACTAAATGAAAATATGACACTAAATAGGACGCAATGGAGAAAAAGGATTCATGTAGCCGACCCCACGTAGTGGGATTAAGGCTTTGTTGTTGTTGTTGTTGTTGTTGTTATACTTGACATGTATACTTGTGTGTATGGGCACTTGCCTCATGACAACTTTTTCGGCCATCATTTGGGTTGGTGTTTGTATGATTGCTACCTGTAGTATAGAATATATGGCTTAATTAATGTTGTGTATTTATGACTATTTACCAATAGTGTTTTAGTTTTCTTGTTTATTGCTTCATTCTAACTTATTATAATTATGATTATTTATATGACTACATCTATGCCGTGAACATAGCAAGTTATTTCTCTTCATTTCATCTCAAATGTGTGATTGTTTCAACTGCATATTTTCTGCTTGAGAAATCGACTTCTAATGAGCGGTATCTTGTTTACGATGTTGTATTGCATAGGTTCTAATATCACATCCACATTTTCTTCGACGAAACTGTTTAACTTGATGAAATCATGTTGAAATTTTAAAAAGCTTTCCTTCTTTCACAATCATACCATTGTGATGCACTTTTTTAGCCATCTTCATGGCCGGCGAGTAATGTCCTGAGTGATTTAGGAGTGTTGTATGTGTACTTTGGGTTATGTAATTTTAGGATGAGGCATTATTGTTGATTGTTTTTCAGAACTACTGTTTTTTTTCTCTTTCATTAAACATTCCTTGATGCCACTTATATTCTTGCTCAACTTTTATTTTTCATCTATAATGTAATTCAAAATTTAAACTCATGGATTTTGATGTTTGTGCGAACCTGTTTATGAATTATGTTATCAGCCATCTCCTATCTTTTTGGGAGCTTTAGATAAGCATACCTGAATGTATTTTGTCGTGGTTCATTTCCTTTTGCGAAGTTTCATATTGTCGAAATTATGATGTCTTCCTTCTAGATTTATGATGAGTGATGCAGTTGCTATAAAGTTTGTAAACACTATCTTCACCCTTTTTATTTCAGAGTTATTTTTTATCCATCTTCATGTTTACATTACTTAATAATATAGTGCCATACAGAAAATCAGACTGATTTTTGCTTGTTGCATGACATTAAGTTTTGGTTTTAATTGGTGGAAAACAATATTGATTTTAACTTGTCACATTGATGCTTGCAAAGACAACCAAGATTGATCAAATACATTATTCCCATGGTGTAGATATATTCTTTGTGCCTTGTGCAAGCTGACGTATCTATATTCATTGTGAGTTTATTTTAAAAAGCATAGTGTTTTTGCTGCAGATGTTCCATTTGATCCCAACACCGCAGGGTAGCTTCTATGTGCTGAATGATATTTTCAGGCTTAACTATGCATGAGATCCCCACAGAAGCTCAAATTTGGTTTTTTTTTTTTTCCCTGTTTGGAGTACTTGAAAGAAACTAAATTCTCTCATGCTTCCATGTTTTCATCAATCATGATGAGTTTTTATTTATTTTGCACTTCTGGTGGTGTGCTTAGCATTTCTCTATATTGTATGATTAAACTTATAAGATCTTTATCGGTCTTTTGCGTTGCTTTGATTGCACTTCTACGTTTAAAGGAGATATTCATGTACGATTCGTGTTCTGGGTTTTCATTTGTAAAGAAGGATTTATATTTTTAGGCTTTCTAATGTATTTCTACGTTTGGCCGTCTCTGGACAAGCTTCAGGGGATAAAATTTATATGCTATGATACATCTACTGATATTTGATCTCATTATTAGTAAAAATTACATCAAGAAACTCTGATATGTTTGTATCAAGCAAAAATGATTAATTAATGGATTATAGAAGTAGAAATATAAAACATCTAAATGAAAATAGAACACAATATTAAGGATTATCTTTGTTTTCTTAGAAAGTTTAAGGATCTTTTAAGCACTATGTTTGGGAATAAAACCTTGAACAGAGTGTACAAATCAAAACACACAAAGAAAACCAAGATTTAATGTGGAAAAATGTAAAAACGCGAAAAAACAATGGAACCGCACTATACCAATAAATCCATCATGAAAAAATAAGAATTGTACAAAATACATCAAACTCAAGCCTCTATACACTTTGGAACACTTCAAGAATTCTCTCATCTATTTCACACAATAGAATACGAAATCCAACACCTCTTTGCAGACAGATCCCACAACAAAGATGTAATTTTAAGCCTCGAATTGGCCAAATGCAGTTATTGGTGTCGGGATGTTGCAGTTGGGCGCTATGACTTAGACCTTTGTGTGTTTGGGTGTCAAGTGCTTTGTTTCTGGACCAGGCATTGCAGCATCCTCTCCTAGCGCTAGCGCATCGAGTTCTCAACTTCCAAGTGTAGCAGGGCTGCATCCGAGTGCTGCGACGCCTGTTACATGAAATTTTATTTTCATTGCAGGGGGTCACCCCCATAACCCCTGAGCAAATGCACTATTAAGGTTGGCCAATGAAATTGAGAAGTTTGAGTGACCAATTGGTACACAAATAGACTCTACAAAATAACAATCTCTTACTTGGAGATTGATTGCAATCAAATTTGGTCATCCAAAAAACTAAATCTCATAGTTAAAAAATGTAGCGTGACTCATTTAGGCATAGCTTCAGTTTTTCAAATGTTACAATTTTAATCAACATATCTGCATGATTCTGAGCTGTGTACTTCTTCAAAGATAATGACCATTTTCTAGGTGTCAACGAATGAAATGATACATTTGTTGAATTTGCTTCGTCCCTGTCATGAAATGCAGTTTTCTTTGCTATATGAATAACACTTCTACTGTTACATTAAAATTTTTATTTCTCTTGCTTCTTGGCCAATTCTACTTCTACAGTTAAATCATGTTCTTGCTATCCTCAGTAATAGCAATATACTCAGTTTTTATAGTCATTAGTGTAACAATCCTCTATAACCTGTAAATACAACTCACTGACATATTTTTTATAGTGAAGATATAACCAATTGTACTTCTGTCATCAATATCTTCTGCCATATTTGAATCTACATATTTTTTTAGATTAATCCCGACGCTTATTAAAACAAAGTGCATTATTGCATGTTCCTCTCAAATATTTGACAATCCAATTCATCGCCTCCCAATTATATTTTCATGGATTACTCATGTATTTGCTGATCACTCTCACTGCATTTGTAATATCTGGTTTTGTACATCTCATCGCATATATCAAACTTCAAACTGCTGAAACATACAAAATTCTTCTCATATGTATTTGCGCTGCTGCAGACTTAGGCGAGTTTTCCTTAGGTAGTTTAAAGCGACTAAGGGAGTTCAAACAGATTTTTCCTCACTTATGTTGAATCTGTGTAGGTCATTCTCAATATATTCAGTCTGAGACAACTTCAATGTACCTTCACACATGTCCATTCTAATTCTCATACTAAGATTTTTTTTTGTTGGACTTAAATTCTTTATTTCAAACTCTCTTGATAATTGTTCATTCAAGCTCTAATATTTTCCATATTTGCTTCTGTAATCAACATGTTATCCACATACAAAACAACATAATATAGCAATTATGAAAATTTTTAATGAAACAACAACGTTTTTTTTGTTTTTTTCTCTTATTTTTTTGAATGAGTCTCCAACTTGTCTATTTATAATTGTCGTATTATTTCCTTATTCGAGTGAATCTCCCTCTCTAACAAATTGAATGATTCGAAGAGGAGAAGAATCGAAAGGAGTAATATTTGCGGGCAATAGAAAAACGAGAGAGGAACGTGGAGAAATTTCGTAAAGTGAACTTTGTACGTCCGAAACGAAATCGGATCAAAAATACCTTGGAGATATATCTGCAAAGAGGCCCTTACAAAAGCGATCCACAACTAGATAATCATGTATAAATGCTTGTTTTGGAGTCAATGACAACTCCCAAACGAACATATTTCTTTAGTTAATTATATTTTGGGGATATCCAAGAAAATTCTTGATAAAAATAGTCTTTCTTACATAGTTTAATGAAATCCGGTTATTTAGGAAACCAATGGATTTGAATCATCTCAAGAGAAAATCCTAATGCTTTCAATATCTATATTGGGTCATAGGACAGATGGTGAGTCATGGTAATCACTACGGGCGGCGACGCTCAGGTATGCAGAGCCGACAAGATGATATCAATGATTTGTCGAAGGAATCGATAGGGCTCGAAAGAGGTGTCAAACAGAAGGAAAATATTCCCTAAAAAGGTAGAGGTAGCCGGGTCATGATATGACAGTTCTGTCATCCCAAGCTATGTAGACCTTAAGTTTACCTGGTTGTGAAGATAGTCGACCTAATAGAACCGAAGACTTCTTATCAAAAATTCGTGAATTGCGTAGTTAAAGGAAGTCTTGGTAGCCCTAAAGTCAAAGGAAGCAAACTCTAGTTTCAATGACCCTAAATAGTTAGAGCTCAAAGAGATGGGGCTTATGCTCGCCAAGAAAAATGACAGAGCTGTCGTTGGAAAGAAGAGAAAAAGTGCTTCAGCTATAAAGCCCAAAAACACCCAAAGGGCTTAGACCATGCCTGAATCAAGGATGCTTCCAACACTCTAGTTGAATTAGACAGCCTTCTAGGTAAAAGTTTATTCTCGACCAAGTTAGGCATGAAGAAGTGTGGGGACTTCTCCTCTGGTATATGTATATGATGCAGTTGTCTACCAAAGTTCTATGGTGTGAAAACCATATTAATTATGACGGGAATATGTCCATGTATATAGTTCAATTTAAAATCGGCCCGATGGCCATACAGAAAAGTAAAGTGCGTGTTTTGAAAAATCCAGAATATTTTATCCCTAAATTTTAATTTATCTTAATCTTTTATTATGAAGATGTTATAGGAAGTTTGAAATTTTCGGGTTTTTAATGTGCGTAGATTATTTTTTGTGATCAATCTCAGACAAACAACAAACAAAAAGAAACATGAAAATAAAGCAATCACGAAACAAAAAAAATTAAGGCAAACTAAGCAAAATATAAGAACTGGCCGGTGCGCTAGGTTGACAACAACTCTTTAGAAAACAGTAAAAGCGGTCGGACTCAGCATGTATAGAACTGGCCGGTGCGCTAGGTTGGCAACAACTCCCAAGAAAACAGTAAAAGCGATCGGACTCAGCTTATACATGTCTGGTCCTAATTCCATACAAGAGTATAAATTCATAATTAAGGTACAAGACATGAGTTGATGCTCCTGATCTTCTTTATGTGGTTTGATGTGCCATCTGCCTTGGTACTCATGCCTGCATCTTATTTCTGATACAGACTTGATTCTAAGACTATTAAATACATGATAAAAGGAAAATAAAGGGCTCTGCAGAAATCTTAGCACGAGTTATCTCATGCAACACATAAGAGTCATGCCCGACAGGAGGAGCTTATAACATCACCAACAAGAAAGAGTTAGTATTAAATCATGACATTACTCCTCCCTTATTAAACCTGTGTCTGTATATTTAGGCACGATTCCCTATAAGAAATTCACCCCTAATATACTATTACAATCTCTACACTCAGTAAATATACAAAAGGACAAGCAAAGTGATGCTTGACTAAGGCAATCAAACCAACAAAGAACAATATTAAGACATCGAAAAAGACTACATAAAATTTTAATTCTAACCTATCACGTCATCTAACGAAAGTGTCCTAATAAACATTTAAGTGTTTAGGTTAAAGTCTCTGAGACATATGACTTTAATAGGTTAGCCACACCAGTTCCGTCTTGAAAATCCAAGAGATCTAAAGAATATCATCCAGGATGAATTTTATAAAAGAGTTGGTCTTACATATGACTTAGCTTCCTATTTGCATAATTTTGAAAAGTATGGTGGATATCATAAGTAGAAAAATAATTAATTTTTTTAGTTTAAAATAAACTCATTAAATGCAGACCCGTAATATGCAAAGTGACACAAGTTTGATCCCTTAGATCTTTAGCACAGCCATACTCGTGTTGATCCCGATGCAATAACTCGCATTGCTCATTGAGACCTACCCGACAAATAATGCTCGTTAACGCATCATGATCTGATAAGTTTGGCTCACTAATGGAACACGCATGAGAATGCAAGTACAAACATGCAAGTGATGAATTCCAATGCAGATATGTTGCACACTCAGTGGGTTTAGAGGCTCAAAGCCTTAACCCTAATTGAGTATACAATGTGAAAAGGCTTGTGGCGTTCAAATGTGACGCCACAAGAGACGTGGCGTTCAAGATCAACAATCATGCAAGTGATGAATTCCAATGCAGATATGTTGCACACTTAGTGAGTTTAGAGGCTCAAAGCCTTAACCCTAATTGAGTATACAATGTGAAAAGGCTTGTGGCGTTCAAATGTGACGCCACAAGAGACGTGGCGTTCAAGATCAACAATCATGCAAGTGATGAATTCCAATGCAGATATGTTGCACACTTAGTGAGTTTAGAGGCTCAAAGCCTTAACCCTAATTGAGTATACAATGTGAAAAGGCTTGTGGCGTTCAAATGTGACGCCACAAGAGACGTGGCGGTATGTCCTCCCTACCGGAAATTCACACACCGGCGGTGCTAGCATTGTTAATCG